GTGTGTGTGTGTGTGTGTGTGTGTGTGTGTGTGTGTGTGTGTGTGTGTTACTCCTTCCTCTTCTTCTTTACCTTCATATCTATTCCCATCACCCTTTCCACTCCCTCCTCTTCAAGGGAAAGTAATTGCATCTTTGCACGTGCAAGTTGCTTTGCAGAACTGGAGGCGTTCCAGGCCCTCCTTGGTCTTCGTGTTGCAGAGCCAGTCGTGGTAGGCGGCGTCAAGTTCCTTGCAATTGATCCAGAGGTCTCCGTACGGGCAGGAATTCGTGCAGAGCTTCTTGGCCTTGCAGTGGCCGGGGCAGGCGGAGCACGGCGCCCCTCGCTCGTACGGCCTCGAGAGCGTGTGCATGAAGTTACCCCTGTGGCGAGAGAAATGGGGGGGGGAGGGGAGTTTATAAGTGTCTGTCCTTTAAGAAAATATTTTTAAAAGTATTTCAATCACAGTAATTCCAGTAACCTAGAAATAGATGAAGAACAGAGCCATATAAGAATACGAATATCACCGAATAATCCAATCAACAATACCAAACAAACTGACAACGTAGACGACAAGCAGCTTTTGGTACACAAACAACAACAGATAAACAGAAAATGGAAAATCGATCCGTGGTCATCGCACCGAACGTACCAACAGAGCTGCCGATATTCTCACCAGATACCGTCATCCACGGTTCAATTAACTCCTCATTTCGCGCGCCAAAGAAAGCGAAGCCCGTAAATCCACCGCCGCTTCATTTGCACTAAATCACCGTGAAATTAAGTTCGTACATCATACGATTTGTTCGCAATTTTTGTTGTTGTTTTTTTTTTTACGTCTAAGCTGATTATTTTGGTTGATCTTCCTCAGCAACAGATGGAACAGGTCAATGCCCTTGTTTCGGAATAAAGCTGCTGTGAGAAGCCGGCCATAACCCGGAAGACGCTTCTCGCTTATCTTTTGTTTTGCTTTTTTTTCTAGCAGTGTTTTTGAATGATAATACGTTACAAAATAATTACATATCGGGTACAATATCTAACTTACCAGTAATTCACTCTTAGAGACGTGGGATACTCAGGATACTTTGTAGACCTGAGATAATATTGACCGTATATGCAATCCAGAAAAAAGATGATCAAATAAATGACAAAGCAGAGCAAACAAGAGCAAGAAAAACATCCAGAAAAGCAAGACGAGAAAAATATGAAAATAAAGTAAAAAAAAATAAAATGCTAGGAAATACCATAACAACATTCAGACCTAAACCTGTCCCTTTATTTACTTACAATACCAATTAACATAAACTAACATCTTGCCTATAGACAACCTACTAACATTCAGCCCGGCGGTTGAATAAGGGACCAGCCCTTTCCACCTTCCCTTGTTCACCCTTCCCAGCACCTTTAAGACGACCACACGCTACGGGGGAGGGGGGGGAGGGTACCTAGCGAAGGTCATAACCTGGGTTCCAAAGATCAGGAATGCGATATTATACTCTCACTTAACTCTCTGATGGACCAATTTCCCCGAGCGGTAAAATAAAAGCAAAAAAAAAAAAAGTGTAACAACCAAAGTGACACGAATTAAATGGACGATTTTTGCCTTCCGTTCGTGGGACATTTTTCCCTCATTGTCCGCTTCACAACAAGGAAACTAAATGTGTTTAGATATTTGCACACACATACGCACCTATTATATAGATAAGTAGATGTATAGATAGACAGATATAGATAGCCGTAGATATAGAAATATAAAGACAGGCAGATAGATAGATAGACAGTTAGATGTATAGACATATAAACAGTTAAATAGTGAGAGAGAGAGGGGGGGAGGGAGGGGGGAGAGAGAGAGAGAGAGAGGGGGGGGGGGGGAGGGAGGGAGGGAGGGAGGGAGGGAGAGAGAGAGAGAGAGAGGGAGAGAGAGAGAGAGAGAGAGAGAGAGAGAGAGAGAGAGAGAGAGACCCCATTTTCCCCCATCCCAGGGGAGTCGTGAAGCAACCTTAGCTGGGAGTGTGGACTCTTGCATGTAAAAAGATTTTTACCAGTCTTTTCAGACGCATGCACATTCACACACTCACAACCAAAATAGCCCCTCCCACTCCCACACACACACACAGAAGCACACTAAACACTTACACACCTACACTCACACTCCAACACACTCAAATCCTTTCACACACAAGCCATCCAACCATCACTTACATCGGGCAGTAGTTACAGACGTAGTTATAGAAGGGCTTCGGGTAAGCGTGGGGGCAGTAAGCCAGACCACAGCCGACCTCGTGAGTGGCGTGCCAAACCATCTGAGTGTAATGGCCTATCACGTGGAGGTCGTTGTTGCTGCCTCCGTAGGTGAAGTTGTCCTTTTCCAGCCACCAGGTCTTGACGGCGAAGAACCTGAGGGAGAAAAGGGGTGGGTTGAAAACGGTGGAGGCGGTGGATAATGAGGGTGAGTGTTGGTGGCGTTGATAAAGACGTTGATAATGATGATAATGGCTATAATGATAATGATAATGGTGACA